AGACGCCCTCCTCCTTCTTGAACCCGAATCCTCCATTTTTCTGCCGCTGCCGGTGTGTGTCTCTGTGGTGCGTGCTCACGTGTGTGCGTGTGCATGTGTCTGTGTTTAAGGGGCAGCACTATTGTTCGGAAACCTTCAGTGCCTGGGGCTAAACAAGCGTCCCCGAGTCTCAGGCGGCGAGGCCATGGTGGTCCCCCCACTGCTGACACTTGGTCGCACACGTGTGAGCGCCAAGGCCATGCCGCGTCCGGGGAGAAACTGAGGCGGGGGAGCCCTTGCTGACACTCCCCGGCTTCCAGGCGACAGAGCTGGGACGGAATGGGATCCGCTGCAGAGCTGGGTCCGGCCCGGGGACAGGTGCGGGGGTGGGGGGGCTGCTCTGGGCTCAGCCGCCCAGGTGGCCGGGCGGCCACACAGCCCCGGGGCCCGGCAGGGGCTTCTTACCGTGTGTCTGTTCGCGCCGACACCTGGCTCATCTCGCTGTTGGCGATGAAGTTTCTGATTTCGGAGAAATAGGAGTCTTCCTTCTCGTCTAAAAGTGCGTGGGTGTCCGACTCAGAGGTGGGGGAGGAGGCGCTGGTCCCCAGGTGGTTCGTGAGGACCCCGGAGTGCTGGCTCACTGTGTGGAGGGGGATGGGGGACCCTCAGCTGTACTGCTCCCCTCCCCACTTCTCCTCTCCCGCCTCATCGCCCCATCATTCAAATTCTACCCACCCCCCACCCTCGTTCCAGAACCATCTCCCGGGGCTGCCTGCAGGCGCGCACCTGGGGTCTTCTCGCCTGGGCCTGCTCCCCTGGGGCCTGCTCCCCTGGGAATGCTCTCCTGGGCTGTGCTCCCCTGGGCTGTGCTCCCCTGGGGCGTGTTCATCTGGGAGTGCTCTCCTGGGCTGTGCGCTCCCCTGGCTGTGCTCCCCTGGGGCGTGTTCATCTGGGAGTGCTCTCCTGGGCTGTGCTCCCCTGGGGAGTGCTCACCCTGGACGTGCTCACCTGTGGGGTGCTCAACTGGGGCCTAGTCACCTGGGGCTGTGCTCCCCTGGGCTGTGCTCTCCTGGGGGTACTCCCCTCGGGGTGCTCCCCGGGCTGTGCTCCCCTGGGCTGTGCTCCCCTGGGGGTGCTCCCCGGGCTGTGCTCCCCTGGGCGGTACTCCCCTGGGTGCTCACCTGGCGCGTGCTCATGCTCGTGCTTCTTCAGGTGCCGGTCCAGGTTGGTCTGCTGCCCGAAGCAGCGGCTGCACAGGTGGCACTTGAAGGGCTTCTCCTTGTTGTGGATGTTGCGGACGTGCCGCTGCAGGTTGGAGGAGATGCTGAAGGACCGGTCGCAGTACTTGCACCTGCAGGACACACACCCTCAGAGGCGGCCCCACAGCCGGCGGCCCCGCCCCGTGGTCTGAAGGTGGGCATGGCAAGGCTGTGCCAGGAGCAGGTATTCGGCCTTGACCTGCGGGCAGCGAACCATGTTGGGTGTGCCCTAGCTGGAGGAGGGGCACTTGGTGGGGCCGTGCCCCTGGGTGTGCAGCGCCCAGACTCCCCAGCGTCTGCGTCCTCCCGGTGCTGGGTCACCCAGCTCGGTGGCCTCACTCCTGGCAGGTCCACCCACAGGGCGACGTGCTCCCAGACGCCTCAAGGGGGCAGCATCTCACCATGGAAAGATGCTCAGCTGGTCCATGGAAGGGGGACCAGTGGACAGCTCCCTGCAGACCCCCACCTGGCACGGGCCGAGGAGAGCAGGGTCCCGCCGCCCCGCCCCGGGCCCTGAGCTCGCTGCTCCATCGGTTGGGGGAGGGGGCTCCCAGCCTTGTGGCGCCAGGCTGCTTCCTCTGCAGGGACCACGATGACCACATGGTCCCCTTTGACTGGGGGCAGCCCAATGGTCAGCTCATCCGTGTGCCCCGTGGACCCCACCTGCAGCCTGTGCCGTGCGGTGCAGGAGCTTCCGCCGCGCCCGCCAGAACATTCCGCTGACGCCCCTTCTCCTAACCCTGCGCTCACTGAGGGGGAACAGCCGTGCGCACCAGGGGAGGCACCTGCGAGGGTCACCCCCGTGGGTGTGGGGCCCTCGGGCGGGGCCTGGATTCACACCCACTCTCACGACCCCCATACAGAGGGCGAAACAAGAGCTAGCGATGTGAGCGTCGGGAAGCAAGACACCCCGCCAGACACAGGGAGAGAGCCAGGGCCCCAGGGGGTGACCGAGGAGTCACCATGCTGCCCCCTCCTGGTGGTGGAAGACCAAGCAAGGCCTGTGATGGACAGGTGCTCCCACCTGCACTGTGTCCAGCTAGAGCTGCACACTGTGTGCATGTGCATGTGTGTGCGCACACGGTGCACGTGTATTTTTGTGTACACATGTGCCCATGCACACGTGGGTGCACGTGTCAGCACGTACATGCGTGCCCATGCACATTCTGGTACATGTGGGTGTGCAGACATGCGCGCACCCAGTCCATGTGTGTTAGTGTGCACATGTGCATGCACATGTGGGCACATATGTGTGTGTGTAGTGTGGGTGCATGCACACACGTGGTGCATGTGCACACGGGCACAGACAAGTGCTCGGTCTTTGGAACTCGGCCAGGGACCCTGTCAGTCTCTCTCTGTCCGACGGTGTCAGGCTCCCACGGCAGCCCTGCTCCTTAGGCGGCTGCTCAGGAAGGACAGGTGCAAGGCCGAGCTGGCACAGCCCGGGTCTGGGCATCACCCCCTGCCCACCCAGCAGGCGTGCGGGCTGAGCTGTGCCTGCCCCGGTCTGTGCCCGCCCCGCTCTGTCAACAAGTCCCTGGAGGGCAGCGTGGGACCCGGAGAAGCGGGGTCCCGAGTGAGAACGAGGCTGCAGGGCGCGGGTTCCCAGGCAGGAGGTCAGGACCTTGTGGGATCCTCCCTCCGGCCTCTGGGGAGCCGGGAGGGTGGGTGGCCAGGCCCTCCATGGCCACAGAGTCCTGAGTGGCCTCCCGAGTTCTAATCTCAGTAAATGGCCCAGACAAACAACCCTGTTTGAAACTTAGGGGAGCGGCAGCCCAGGGCTCCGGGAAGCTGGGCCTGCGAGCAGCTGGGATTTGCCTTGTAAATAAACTGACAAGTGGCGACTGAAATTTATGGCCGCGCCGCATAGAATAACAACACCACTGCGCCCGCCAGGAACGAGCAGATGGCGGCTACAGTGGCGGGTGGGGAGGGCCTGCAGGGGACCTTGCCATGACAGTGTCCGCGGCCACTTCAGGGAATGCAGGGAAGCCAGCGCGGGGGACACAACGCAGGACGGGGTGTAGGGGGGAGGAGAGGGTGGAATGGCCCCAGGCAGCGTCCCACCCCACACAGGGCCACACCCCAGGGAGAAATGCTGTCAGTAACTGTCAAGAAAGGGGCAGAGAGATTCTGAAACCCAGCCCTAGTACTCAGCTAAGGGTGGAAGGAGGGACCCAGCCCTAGTACTCAGCTAAGGAGGAAGGAGGGACCCAGCCATAGTACTCAGCTAAGGAGGAAGGAGGGACCCAGCCCTAGTGCTCAGCTAGCTCAGCTAAGAGAGACCCAGCCCTAGTGCTCAGCTAAGGGAGGAAGGAGAGATCCAGCCCTAGTGCTCAGCTAAGGGAGGAAGGAGAGACCCAGCCCTAGTACTCAGCTAAGGGAGGAAGGAGGGACCCAGCCCTAGTACTCAGCTAAGGGAGGAAGGAGAGATGCCTGGCCCGGCACGGGCATGGGGCTTCATACAGAGGCAGGACGGGAACCCGGGAGGAGCCGGACTGAAGGTGGGAGGCGTGTTTCCTGGGGCGGGAATCCCAGGTCCCCCCAGGCCAGGGCAGCCTCAGAACCTCGCCTCCACCGTGTGACTCAAGGTCCCGCCGGCGCCAGGACGGGGAAGAAGGCAGCCCTCAGCCCTAATTCAGTCTTTTTGTTAATCATCACCCGGGTTATTGTCCCACTGATTTTTAGAGCGAGTAGGAGAGAGGGGGAGAGACTAGATGTGAGAGAGACACATCGATGGGTTGCCTCCTGCATGCCGCCTGACCAGGGCCCGGGCCGGGGAGGAGCCTGCAACCAAGGTACGTGCCCTTGGCCGGAATTGAACCCGGGACCCTTTGGGCTGCAGGCTGACAGTCTACCCACTGAGCCACACCGGCCAGGGCTCTAATTCAGTCTTCATGTCCCTCCATCCTCATCTCAACAAGGCCTGCGCACGGAGCTGCAAGGACGGGGTCTCAGGCTCCTTCCTTCCCGCCGTGCTCTGACCGGGAGATGCCGCCAGCGGAGAGGCCGGCTTGGCCTGGGCCAAGTCTCCCCTCCCCTCCAGGCAGCGTGTCAGTCACAGGAGAACGTGCCTGTCCTCCCCGCGCGCAGGCTTTGGCCGCGGCCGGAGTCACTTTGGATGGCCGGGCGTGGACTTTAAAGGCAGCGGTCAGCGCTGTGTAGCGGGGTCATCGGGTCAGGCGCAGCCATGAGAAGCCGGCGGCGAGGGGCCGTCCGCTGGCCTCCCTCGCGCGCACACAAGGACGCACCACGGGGTGGGGTGCTCATGTAGGCGGGGGGGCGGGCGGAGGTTTACTCAGCCTCCCGGGGCTGGGGGTCCCCCTCTTTGGCAGGTTTCTGAGGCCGAATGTGCGCATTTCCCTTTTCCCACTTAAAGCCTCCCAGTGATCAAAGGTGGCCCGGAACCCCACGATGTCGCGGGAAGTCACCCCCGGGCCCCTCATCACAGGGCTGCCTTGCGCCCGAGAAAGTCAAGATCCGGAACACGAACTTTCCAAGCAATTATTGCTCCGTAAGTTGAACCTCACAGATTAGAGAGAACAAAAGAAATCAATGATCATCAAATGTTCTATAAACACGGCCCGGTCCCCGGGGGCCTTTACACGGAACACGGTCAGGAAACCGGCTCGCGTTACACAAAGATCTGGGCGGCGGGCAACGGACCAGCCCTCCCGCTGCTCTGGCCTTCGCCAGGCGGCACCCGCTTCTGGGCGGCGGGGCCTGCGCTGGGCGCTGGGTGCTGCCACACAGGCGGTGAGCAGTGTGAGCTGGCCTTTCTCCCACCAGGACGCGACCTGGCCCTGTGGTGGCTGGGGACGCACGTTACGTCTCAGGGTGGGCGTAGGGACCACGATACCTGCAGGGCCCATGGGGCCACCTCCCCAGGGATGGGGACACCCACACACACAGCTCAGTCTCCAGGGCCAGGGGTGACGCGGCTCAGGGTAGCCAGATGTGGGGACCTTCTGGCACCAACTTCCAGCCGTGCCAGCTCCCTACTCCCACCCGCTGCCTCTCAGGCCCCCAGCGCGATGCCGGGCGGTGAAACCAGCGGCTCCCCG